TTATATGGGGGGAAGTCTGAACCATCCACAAAAGGTTTATGAGCTCAAGAACTTCTAGGTCACAAACTTTCCTTTGGTGGATCTCTCATTGGCCTGGGAACAATCTGGATAAATAAAGTAGGAGATAAAGAATTCATATTGCCTTGCCCTCCTCTTTGCTGCTTTCCCCTCTCATCCTCCCCATCCTCCCCACCACCACCACACACACACACACCCACACACAGTGTGGAGGGAAGCCCAACCTCAGTCTCCTGGAGGTTATCCTTGTGCTGGCAGTTGTGGCCACTGATGACTTGAGTGCTCCTCTGCCTTTGTTACCAAAGAAAGACAAGCTGCCCAAGGGATTAGCATAGGAGATCAACAGGCATGGCAGCAGAACTTAGATCTCTTCCTTTCAAACATCTTACAGTCCAAAGACTCCTGACTCTACTCTAAGGACCGGCCAAGAATATACTAAGGAGAGTGAATATAAGAGGATCCTAGTATATAAACCCACTTTTTCTTTAATGAGATCAGTAGTATTTTGGGTACTTGATTACTAAACTGTTTACATGGAACAATATGTTCTTTTCAGAAAAAGCTAGAGAACAAGGTAATCTATTACTACATCAAACAATGTCTTATCAAATCAACCTGTTTCCAAAAACACCAGACAACACTAGTGAGTAATGCTGCGTTTCAGCCAACACTTCAGCTCATTTTAGCACATCAGTTGTAGTTCTTAGGCAATCATTTTGGTCCTCCAAATAAGTTGAGATCATAATCTTTCTGTTGTTTCTTGCCAGGCACAAAAGTGGTTTCACCCTCAGCCTTTTCCACACCACCAAAACACAAGACACTAAAGCAACCTGACCCTCCAATGTGCAACTCCTGCCAACTCGAAATCTCCTGGAACAATAGGCTAAAGGAGGCCAGTATTCCAGGAGATGAGGTTTACATGAGGTCCAACACCTTTGCCTAGGAATGAATAATAAAACCACTAGCTCTTCATTCCCCAGCATTATGCCATCTAACTCCAACAGGGTTGAAGCGTGCAAAATTAAAAAGAAATCAGGAACACACTGAACTTAAAACTTCAAGTATATTTTAAATCCTGTTTTAGATTAATTTAAATAAACTGAGGTCAGGCAACTCTTTGTTCAAGTTGGATTATTCGTACTGGTTTAATACCAAAAGCAGTCAGTCACATTTTTTCCACTAAAAAAAAAAAAGTCCTGACAAGAGAACATTCTAAAACTCAGTAGAGAATATGAGAACAGCTTACACTAAACTTTGCCTCCTAAAATAACTAATGAAGAATATTACTCAGTTATTTGACCATGGGAAACAGCTATTTGTATATTATTACATATTTTGCAGGTCACAAATTAAAAGCACATATTTAATTTCTAGCATAGCATCTTTCCAAGGTGTCTTACAAAGAGCACCAGTGCAACAGGGGAAAAGCAAGTCAAATAAGTGTGAGAAGCTCTGCCTTCCCTAGTCCCCTTCTTGGAAATGACTGATACACATTTGCAGTGAACTCAGTGGAATCCAGCATTTGCCCAAGTTTATTTGGCCCTGTGGCCCTTTTTCTCTCTTAACACATATCAACATCCCCCAAAAAGTGTCTGTTCAGCAGAGCACACTTTGAGAAAGATTCTTCCAGAAAAGGGATATAATAAAACAGTCTAATAGCTGAGACTCTGGAGTCAGCCTGATTCAAACATCAGCATCACCACTTGTTAGCTCTGGGACTCTGGGAAAGCTTCTTAACATAACTTATCCCTCAGTTTCCCCAGGTAAAGTGGACAAAATAATAGCACCTACCTCTTAGGATGTGGGTCTTTCCATATGACTGCAACAGTCTTCTGAGAGCCTTACATGGCTGGCTCCTTTTCCTCACTCAGATCTCACGTCACAGTGTCACCCTCTCCCAGAGGCCCTCCCTGACCACCCAATATGAAGTTGGCCCCACCCAAGTCACTTGTTCTTCATCCTCTTCTTTTATCCATGATTCTTCTCTGCTTAACTATTAAATAGATATTTGTATTCTAGTTCATCACAATGGATACGAACACCATGAAATAAAACTTGGTTATCACTGCTCTATCCCAAAACAGATCCTCAATAAGTATTCATTCAATGGATGGATAGTGAATGAATAAGTGAGGTGGCTGTGAGAATTAAATATGAATCACATAAAGAATAAAGAATTAAAGCATTCTTTATAATGCCGGACACATAAGAATCAATCCAGACACTGTTATGAAAACTTTTGGTGAATGATGTGGTTAATGCACTCATAATTCTTACACTACTTAATTTGCCTCTTCTTTCTGTATTGCGTGTAAACATTTCATGGGATTTATTTGGAGGTGTGTTGGTAAATGGTCTTTCAGGGGAGCGTGGATAGGCCCTAAGAACAGCATTTGACTAACTGCCATGGTTTAAAAACTCCCACCATGATCAACTTCAAGCTATCAATGGTTTAAAAGCAGGCTCACAAAATTCCTTAAAATGTAACAAATGGCTCTCACAATCTCTTCAGAAGGGTCCTTTCACTCCTCCAAGTCTTGTTTGTTGAGTTCAAGTTTAAAATAAGATTTTTACATAGAGACATCTTTTCTACATTTTCCTTCCTTGGTGAACCAAGGTAAGGGCTATCCACTGCCTGGCCTGATGCTAAGGGACACTAGTTGGATGTGTTGGGCTGCATTTTCTGTACCACTCTCTGTGGGCTCTTGTTTAAGACTCTAAACATGTTCTATATCCATTCCAGATCATTGTAAGCACCAACTAATCCCATAAAACACAAATAAAATTGTGCTTAGATTCATTTCATTGGAGGCATCCACACAATAGAATCAAGGCACCACCTATTAAGTGCGACCAATGAGCAGAATCTACTAACAGAATAAGAGTGATTCTACCCTGACCACAAGAGTCCAACATAAAATAAAGGGCAGTGCTGTTAGGTGGAGGTTTCTTTGGCACCATAGCCTTCCTATACATGCAACATGACCCCAAAACAAAGCATCAGCTTTTTTCAAGTACAGAAATCTACCAATCAGAATTTTGAGATAAGACCAAAATTTCAAAATCCACAATCACTCTAGTGCAAGTGATGTCATGCCAGGAATTACTGCTTCTCTTCTGTAAACTAAATGGAAAGTCTATGAAGTAAGGCAGGAAGAGATTAGTTTCTGATCAACCCTATCAGCTATGTATTGCTTTGTAACAAATTACCCCAAAATTCAGCAGCTTATTTTCACATTTATTACCTCAGTTTCTGTGGGTCTGGAATCCAGGCACAGCTTAGCTGGATACTCTGCTTCAAAGTCTCACAAAGCAGGTGTCAACCCATAAGCAAGGTGTCAGCCCAGGGCCTGTCATCTCATCAGAAGGCTCAGCTTGGGAAGAATCCACTTCCAAGCTCACTAAGTGGTTGTTGGCAGTTTTCAGTTCTTTGTGGCTGTGTGAGTGCGGGTCTCAATTCCTCATTGGTACTGGCCGAAGGCTGCCCTCACTTCCTTACTGCTTGAGCTTCTCCCAGATGGCAGCTTGCTTCATAAAAGCATGCAAGTTGAGAATGCAATTGAGGCTGCTAACAAGATGGAAATAACAGTCTTGTGTAACCTAATTGTGGAGTTGTTACCAGCATCCCATTACCTTTGCCCTATTCTATTGTTTAGAAGCAAGGCACTAGGTTCAACTTATACTCAAGGGGAGGAGATTACACAAGGGCATGAATTACAAGAAGTAGGGATCATTGGGGCCATCTTAGAAGTCTGCCCACTGTAATCACCCCCTTGGAATAAGAATAAGAAGACCAGGCCCAACATAACACCTCTGTAAGCATCTCAATATGAAACTAAGCCATGTGGTCTCCCAAGCATATTGCTAAGGCCTCATGGAAAAAGAAAAAAATGAGAATGAGCACAGAGGACACTAAGTCCAAAAACACAAAATTCTGTCCAAATGTTCTAAGCAAATACAATCTACATCAGAGAAAACCTCTAGGAGCATTCGTATTAGTAAGTCCCAGCATGGAAGGCATTTTTCTGAACAACACAAGTGACTCATAGGAAGTCCTGCCCATCTGAGCAGGTATATAATGCCAGGAAACCTAGCTTGGTCTGGAAGCAAATATCTTTTGGAATTTTTATTTATTTATGTAACATATTTTGAAAATATAGTTAATGCCATTTTATTGATTACTATTTTCTGTGAGATTTGTGTCTCCCGAGGCATTTTGCTTATGTGGTACTTTTGAGATCCGCCATAGCAGTAAAGAACTGCTATAAAAATTTCAAACATTGGCTGGCACCCACCTTTTATCTACGCTTTGTCAAGCCGCATATTCTCAGATACATGAGCATCCCAACATAAAATGGTGGTGGCAGGCCAGAGAAGCTGCCTCTGAAAACTGAATAATTTAATCCACTAAGTGCAAAACACATAGAAAACCTGGAACACTCTGTCCTAGATGAATGTAAGTGCAAACAAAGATTATCTTAAATCTAAACATTCAAAATTGGTCTGCACATTTTACCATAGATTCCAGAAATATCCATATACTTTACTTCCTGCAAATTCTGCCCCAGTTCAGCTACACAAATACTTAGGTTTATTGTTTTGCTAATCACCTATTCCTTTTTCTCTTTTAGAGAAATGATATTTGATAAACATCTAAAACTTAAACAGTGCTGTACTTAAAAGGTCCTGAAACAATGACCATCTGCGGGAAAGCAGTTGTAAACCACCCCACAGCTGACATGTGCTACACACGCTTAGATCCTGAATACGTGTTGAATAGTAATAGAACATATGTGTGGGGAGCAGAGAAAAAAGCTAATGCAAAATTCCAGTTTAAATGTGATAAGCAGACAGGAAGGTTATAAAACAGGTGACAAAGAAAATTTTAAGGTTGTGGATGTTTTCCAACCTGTGAAAATAACTTGATAACACATTTTAACCTGTAAAATATGACTTTGGGGCAATAAAAAGAATGTCCTTACCTCTCTAAGATGTATATTTTCCTTCTCTTTCTGGTCTAAAATCACCTCTAAGTGGCTAACTTGAGATTCAGCCTCTGCCACCCGCCGCGTCCGTTCATTGTCATCCTCAAGACTTTTGGATGGCAAGCCTTTACTTTGTAACATCTCGAGAAGCTTTTTAATTGACTCATCTCGGGCATTGAGGGTCTGTTTCTGTGTTTCAATTCTCAGCTCCATTTCCTCCAAGGTCTTCCTCAATAGGAATAGCTCCTTAGCCTGTCTGTCATGCTCAGCTTGCAGGCGCCGGAAGTTCTCCTCAGTCAGCTCAATGGTGAAGTGCTCGGCTCCTCGGTTGCCACTCTCTTGCTGCAGGAGGTGGTTGAGGTCTCTCTGGGTTCGCAGCTCATCCTGAAGGGCCTGGATTGTCAATTGCAAGTGCTGTGATGAGAAAGATGGAACAGGAGAAGAGAAAGAAAAGAGAAGTCAATGGAAATGCCAAGGGCTATTCGCTGGGACCACACTATGAACATGGAATGTTAATCATGAGGTCCAGAGGGCCAGCTCTGAAGTCCTCCAGGGTGACTTCAGAAGCATGGGACAGCACATAGAGAGGGGGATATTAATTCGACGATGCTTTCTGAATGTCTTAGGAGAAAAGAAATGTAAACACACACAGAAACAGTATATTAGTGTCAGTCACAAGGAAAAGCATATATCTACAGATTTAATTTAGGAAATGGAAGGGGTTAGAGGGAAACTTTCACAAACACACCTTCTTTATGCCCACAATGCTCCAGACTCAGAATTTCTTGTTTCTTAAGGTGTTCTTTATTCTACTATCCATTATTTTCCATGATAAATGCATGTCCATTTATAAATGAAAATAATAGCATTCACTACAAGTAGACACAAACAAGGACTTTATTTTTACAAATAAAGCTGTGACCAAGTTTCGTAAACAGGTTACTGAATCTACAAGAAAAAGGAAACAAACACAGACAGAGACAGTCACTCAAACACAGGAGGAGGTGAGGCTGTGCAGAGCAAAACAAATGCCCTGCAAAGAGTGGACAAACCTTGGTTCTTCTGGCATCCCGTAACTGAACAGCATGGGAAATGAAAAAAGAAAATGAAGCAAAAAATCAACACAAAGGAAAGCCCAGTGCAAGCAAAGGATATTTAACAGAAAGAACTTAATCAACATAAAGTACCTTCAGGAAGAAAAAAAGAAAATAAAAAATAATTTCTTATTACAACAAAGACCCATAAGTTACACAGAATCTATAGTATTGATGCTTGACACATGTGATTTTTTTTTAAAGTGAGGTTTATTCCGCTTTTTGTTTTTCTAAATCTCCCTGACATGGTGAGCCTTGGATATATCGCCAGGGAAAAAAAGCACAGTACTTCAGAAGCACCCACATACTGCACATTGTTCCAAGTCACCATTTTAACCAACATCACAGTGAAAGCACCAGAGGAACAAACCAGTTACAGGCAATGAGGAAAGAAACCCTTGCATGAAGATAATTGGTGAATTCAGCAACACATTCCCCACAGGGCCAACCAGCTGGCTGGTTAGAAGAGGCGGCCACAGGCTGTAAGGCATTTTTGTCCTAGAAACAAACCTGGGAGCTTCCAAAACACCAAACACTTTCAATCACCAAACACACATCCCTGGCCTGTAGGTAGACCTGACACAATGCTAAGCAAGAGAATCAAGATTAACATGAGACATAGCTCTTGTCTACAGGGAACTCACAGTATTATAAGGGATGGATAATACCCTGTCTAAATTACATAAATATTGGAGAAGTCCACATTTTAAAATTTTTCTGAGGTCCTACGGCTAATGCCCAGAAGCGCTCAGATCTTTCTGAGTGTGGCCTCTACCCAGAAACTAGCACTGAGTGATGCATCACCTTGATAAAAATTTTTATGGATATCCACTCCATCTACACATTTCCACTGAAACTCTAGAGCACAGGGAACAAGTATTCTCTTTCTAATCCATGTGCCACAATGCCTCACAGGAGACTGACTTGCAATAAGCACCTGGTATGTATTCAATGGTTGTCATTATGCATTATTTTTTAAAAATACAATGCACCAGTATAAAGTATAAAATTCAGCAGTATTGTGGTACATTCACAAAGTTGTACAACCATTAACCGAATAAATTTTAGAACATCTTCATCATCCAAAAAGAAACCCTATATACTTGAGCAACCACTCTGCATCCCCCACCCAATCCTGAGGCCCTGACAATCACTAATTTATTCTCTGTCTCTATTTATGTGCCTATTCTGGACATTTAATACCAATAGAATCATGTAGTAAATGGTTTCTTTCACTTAGCAAGTTTTCATCCATGTTGTAGCATGTATCAGTATTTCATTCATTTTATAGATGAATATTATTGTTATAGGGGCATATCACATTGTATTTATCCATTCATCAGTTGATTCATACACAAATATTAACAGTAGCATTATTCACAGTACCCAAAAAGTGGAAATGACCAATATCTCAATCAACTGACAAATGAGTAAATAAAATGTGATATATCCGTACAAAGGAATATTATTTAGAGATACAAAGCAATAAAGTCCTGATACACACTGTAACATGGATGAACTCTGAAACATTATGCCATATGAAAGAAGCCAGTCACAAAAGACCACACTACATGATTCCATTGATATGAAATATCCAGAATAAGCAAACCCATAGACAGAAAGTAAATTGATGATTGCCAGGAGAGTTGAAACGAGGGGAAAGAAGGGTAATTACTAAAAGGTACAGGCTTTCTTCTTGAGGTGATGAAAATGTTCTGGAATTAGTGATGTTGGTTGAACAACTTCTTGAATATACTAAAAACCACTAAATTTTACATGTTAGATGGGTGAACTCTATGTACATAAATTATATCTCAATAAAACTGTCACAAAGAACATGAAATGGGACTATACATTAATATGACCTTCCTCTACCAGCTGCCCATCCCTAAACCACATCAAAAAAAAGTCCACAGGAGTATCAAGAGCCTTAAACCCAGCAATCTGGCCACTGCAAAGCCTTTTGGGAGTGGAGAGTACATCTTCAAGTCATTTAAATATTTTTTTGAAATGGCAACTCTTTGTCCTTTGAAAGTGGCTTGGATTTCTAAGATGAATCAGGATGATCAGAGTGGAAATTATCTTTTCTAAGAATGAGCAAAAATAAGATTGGTTTTCTTAAGTGATTCGTAGGCTGACCAGAAGGGAATTCCAAAGACAAAATGCCAAAATTCTTTCAGCAGGGACAGCAATATGAAGACAACTCTGTAAAGGGGCTGTCCCTTTGGATGGCCAAGTTGCCTATTTCCCTGACCCTTTGTTTACATACCCTCAAAATGGAAATAATCATAAAATGACCTCATAGGGTTCCTGTGAGAAATAACTAAGATAATGCATCAATTGCCATGCTTAAATGAAAAGGAAGGGAAGAAGTTTGGTAGAAAGGAAGGTAGAAAAGAAGGAAGGAAAGTAGAAAAGAAGAATGAGAGGGAGAGTGGAAGAAAGGGAGGGAGAAAAAATTGATCCATTTATCAATTCAATATACATTTATCCAGTATCTCCCTCATACTCATGAAACATTAAAAAGGAAAACAAATGGTCCATGCTCATAGTCCATGTGGACAAGTAAACTGATTGTAGAAATATTATGTTATTAGAGTTATAACAGAAGTTATACCTAGATGGAGGAAATACAGAGAGCATGTAACCTAAGGTAGAGACAGGTAGAAAACCACCCCAAACACTCAGAGAAACCACTGAGCTACTTCTTGAAGAGCAAATGAGAATCAGAATCATGAAGAACAATAAAAAGAGAATAGAAGGTACAAAAGCTTAGAGGCTTTGAGCAACTTTTCATTTGTCTATTGGCGATCTCTATGTCCTCTTTGGAGAAGTGTATATTCAGGTACTTTGCCCATTTTTAATTGGATTGTGGGGTTTTTTAGTGTTGCGTTTTTAAGTTCTTTATCAGAGAGATGCAAATTTAAACCACAATGAGACATCATCTCACACCTGTCAGAATGGCTATTATCAATAAATCAACAAACAACAAGTGCTGGCAAGGATGTGGAGAAAGGGAAAACCTTTTGCACTATTGATGGGAATGCACATTGGTACAACTGTGGAAAGCAGTATGGAGATACCTCAAAAAATTAAAAATGGATCTGCCTTTTGACCAAGCGATCCTGCTTCTGGGAATATATCCAAAGCAATCCAAAACACTAATTCAAGAGAACATAGGCACTCCTATGTTCATTGCAGCGTTATTTACCATCCCCAAGATATGGAAGCAGCGCAAGTGTCCATCAGTAGATAAGCAGATAAAACAACTATGGGACATTTATACAATGGAATTCTACTCGGCAGTACAAAAAAAAGAAAATTTTACCCTTTGCAACATTATGGATAGACCTGGGGAACATTATGCTAAGTGAAATGAGCCAGTCAGAGAAAGACAAATACCATATGATTTCACTCATATGTGGAATCTAATGAGCAAACTAAACTAACAAGGAAAATGAACAGACTTACTGATAGAGAGCAGGGTGACAAGTTAGGGGTGGGCATAAGAGCAGGGGCTGGAGAGGTTGAGCAAAAAGGAAAAAGGACTCATGGACATGGACATCAGTGTGACAATTGCTGGGGGGAGGGAGAAAAAAGAGGACTAAATGGCAATGGAAAAAATACAATTAAAATATAAAGTTAAAAAATAAAAGCCCAGAGACAAAGACATACCAGACCTATTACGGAACAGTTATGGGAAAAATCTTGACAGTGCTTACAGTGCCGGTGGACACGGCACACATAGTTCTAAGCTCTTTTAATCCTCAGAACCACCATGTGAGGGAGCCACTATGATGACCTCCATTTATGAATGAGCAAATGGAAATGCAAAATGGTAAAGTAACTTGATTCAGGTCACCCAGCCAGGTAAGTGGCATAGCCAGTTGTTCATCCAGGGAGTCTGACCCTTGCTCAGACCCCTCTATACTATCTAGCTTCTGAACTGACACAAATACTTCTGAATGGCTAAAAAAAGAATGGGGAGGAGGGGTGCAGGAGTGGTGAGAATGGACAAGCAGGCAATTAGGACAGTTATGGCAATTGTCAAAATTAAGAATTAGCCATCCTAACCAGGCAGTTCCTCATTCATAGGATGTTTCCGTGTTGTACACTTACTAATAAGTAAAATCTATTTTCCAGGTAGCCATTTTATTAGCCACGAAATGATTTCAGCATGACCAAACACACTCTGATAATCAGCCTAAAATTGTGTTCCAAAATTTCTCAAATCCGTGTCATTTAGTTTTCATATTCTTTTAAGATATTTAAAATTCAGCAGGAATCTTCTTGTTCCTAAAAAGTGATTCTTAAGCAAAA